GAACTTTTCAGACAAGCTACTTCTGCAGAACTGTTGCTTGAACCTGGGATGACTGTYCTTGACTTGTGTCGCAAAGCAAATGCCATTCCAGAGGGACCTAGTGGGTAAGATCTCACCTGTGCTCTTGGGTAATACTCAAAACATTATTTATACTTCTTAGAAAGAATTGGAGTAGCAGAGGCTAAAGWAATTTCAGTCACTCTTGACCTGGACTGAAAGTGAAGTGCAGGAGAATTAAAATTTACTCAATTATGGATTCAACCAAAAAACCCCAACAAAAAACAACCCTAAGTGAACTTTCAGTTCTTATTAATAATAAATAGCTTTCTCTTGCAATTAACAATAGTTTTTTGTTTTGTTTTTAAGGTACCGGAAAATTACAGATGGAGGAGTTTCAATAAATGGGAATCGTGTAACTAATCCTGAGGCTGTTCTCATTCTCGGACAGCATATTCTGAAGAATGGAGTATCATTACTTAGGGTTGGAAAGAAAAATTACTACATTATAAAATGGCTGCAGTTGTGACAAAAGAATATCTCCCTAGAAGGACAAGTCATTGTAACTCTGCTGCTTGAAGATGTACTTAAAGATGTTTCTGTACTGTGCATTACTGCACAGTTCACAGACTGCCCAGCACTTCTTTTGCAAAATGCTCCAGAGTTCAAATAAAGGAGTTGAGTTATAACCACTGAAGTGATGGTGGATACTCTGCCTTATTCAGAGCACCATTCATAGAGGATCTGCACAAGAAGAAAATGAAAAGATTTCGAAGTCCAGTGGTGGAGATGTGCTTCCCCTCCTTAACAGCCATCTGTGTTGTAGGAGAATGGTGGCCAGTTACTCTATTCCACAGGATAACCCACAGCAAAATGAGCCACAGCAAACTCAAAACCAGTGCTTCTTACAGCCAATGTGCAGTCACCTAACAGAAACCTCACTGGGGGCAAGGACAACCAGCCTATGATTGTGTTTCTCTGAACAGGTTTTCTTTGAAGGAAGCTGCAGGAAATTCATAATAAAGGAGTGAATGATTACATACTAATGTAAGTGGCTTCTTGGTTGCTTAATGGAACACATTGCACTAAAGCTTTCCAGCTTTCATGTGAGAATGTGAAGGTACAGACCTTTTTGCAATGTGAAGGTACAGACCCTTTCAAAGCTTAAATCAAYCTRATGAATCCTTTTAGGCCTTCTGTGTGTGTAGGACTTACAAGGTGAGTGACACTTGTTCCAGTTTTTTGGTCCCCTGAATGACTTGGATGCATCCATGCTATCTTGCATTTTTGTTGAAGGAATATCCTGGTAGTAGTTGTGTAGGCTCTGCAGTCTCCTGGAAGACAGTACATTTTATACCGTATTTAGAGCACGTACACGAAAATTGTTTAAATGTCAGCTGCCCAAGAGGTGTGGGKAAACAGCCCCACAAGAGTCTTTGGACGAGGAAACTGTGAGGAAAGCTTTAGTGCTTTGCAGCGTTGCTTTCAAGGATYAGGCCTCAGGCCATGCAGAATCATTTCCTGATCTATGAAATCTACAGTACAAATTTGCAGTAATGGCAGCCACAAGGGGGACACCTTAATCTTTGCTTCCTGAATGTGGTAACTCAGCACCATCCCTTCTGTTGTCAGGGTAAGTCAGGTAGTTCAGCTGGTTTAAAATCATCCAGCCTAGGAGAAGAACGGGGAAATTCTAAGGAATGATAACAAGTCTCAAAAAATAGATACTCTGGAGTTGGGGGGAAGCTCATTATTTTTTTTTTTGKTTKKTTTTTTTTAATGTTTCTTTTTACATGATAAACTTGATGCATCCATGCTATCATTTGCATTTGGTGATTTCATTTGCACTGATTTACGATCCCAACACTAATAAAAAATTGTGGCTTGCTCATTCCAGATTACTGAATAGAAACTGAAATATGGTACTTTCAGAAGCTCATAATGTTCTTACTGTTAATGGAATTATTAGTGTTCAGTTTTCAGATCCTGCTTAACTGTCTCAYAATGAGACCTCTCTAGCCCTATCTCTGCTACATAAAAATGAAAAGTAGTTGAGTAATTTCTACCTCAAAGAAAGCCCATGGAGGAAGGGGATGAAGGGAAGGGAAAGTTGATCCACCTGACACAGCCACCTTGTTCCTTAAATGACAGCAGCATTAGAGCAAATCACAAACATGCACCTGGGACCAAAATGCACCAGTTGACACCCATGTTCACACTTCCAGTGAAATAAAACACAGCAGATCTGAGTTTCCTTCTGGTCACAGGAAAAACTCCTAGATACAAGTAGTGTTTTATGTCTGGTCTCTTTCCTGCCTATTTGCTGTAATTTCCAAATGGTACAGATTCACGTATATATCCACGACTAAAAAACTAGTAAAAGTACTTACATTTTAGAAATATAAAAACAAAGGAATAAAGTTCCTTGCATGCAAGGTTTCTAGTAAGAWACCTTGTAACCTCTAGTAATAAACCTAATAAATTTAGTCTATTTGCTTGCCTTTCACCAAGTCCTAGCAATCCAAAGCCTTCCCTGATTCTTTCCAGAGAAACAGCTGGATAAAACCACCACTTGCCATGACCATACAGGACCATCACAACTAAGCACWGTGTCAAGGATCAAGGATGACTGGAAAAATTGAGYATTCTTCCTTAGCTTGGTCTTACTTCTCACCTACAAGTACRTTCAGGTAATCAGAAAGAGATTGTTAAAACTTGTTCAAATGTGAACAAGAATTAAAAGTATTTAGCACAGCTACAAATGTGTGATCTGAAAGTGCAAAAAGTAATTATTTAGGCAAGGTATTTTTAAAAAACCCTAACTTAAAAAAAGCCCAGCCAGAACCATTTGTACAGTGAAAGCTGGAAGACTTGAATTTAATCTCATTGTGGCAATCAAGAGGTAAAGGGTGGCAGCAGGTAAACTCAAAACTGGGAGCATAAAAGCACCTTCACTAACAGKTTAAACAGTGCCACTGAGCACAAAACCATATTCAAGTGGTATTAAATTTTGAAGAATCAATCCCCTAGCTCTCACCGCAAAGAACASTTTAATTGGCAACAAAAAGCAGATGCAATGATCTTCAGTAACTACAGAAAACACCAGCCACCCAATTGCTCTCACAGCTGAAGGGTAAAACTGCAGGAAAAAAAATGACTCAAAGCAATTCCATTCAAGTTTGCAAGAGAGGCCAACAAACTGGCAAGTTGTATTCCCTGCTGTGGTCCATAAAGCAGGGACCTGAGTTTGCCACACCCAATCTGGCATCTGTCAAAGTCAGTCCTCCACAAAGCATTGAATTAAGGCAGGTTTTACACAAAGTCTGGTCTGTTTATTTCAGAATAAAGTCTAAAGCACACACACCCAACCCCCCATTCACCCAAGTAAAACTCGAACCTGACCACTAAGGATTGACACGCTGTTCATATCACGATACTGGGTTTTAGTTACAGCAGGACTACAGCAGCTCAGGTGGTCATGTCAGCCATTGACTAATCTGAGCTTGGCTGTATTGGGTTTTCCCCTTCATGATTCTCTCCCCACTGGAGAGCAAGGTTAGCTAAAACTTGTGCAATAAGGACAGAAATTTCAAGTTTAAATTAAATAAGGTGGGCTACAAGACAGTTGTAAACCATCAGTGTAATCTGGGAATTTTTCAGTCGCTGCTCATTAGGCTTTTTTTCCATAGTTTCCCCATAATTTCTTTCAATCCTGGTAGGAATAAGGCCATTTTTAGTATTTTAGTTCAGTTCCAGAAACAGCTTGTTTCAAACCTGTCAGCAGCCATGAGCAGCCTGTCTACACTGATTTGTGGAACTATTCAAGAACTAAGAATGCAGAATTGAGTGAGAACATGTGCAATCMTAAGTAAGGCTATACAAAATACAGGTACTTAAATTACTGACTTAAAACAGCATGTAAGACCTGCCACCAGAATTACAAGTCAGTTCAAAACTATTTCTGGAATAATTAATTTTGTGTATTATCTGTTTATTAAATAACAGGATTGTTACAGCATGGACTTTCAAAGACTTGCATTAAGGATTACAAATCAAGTTCATTTCTTGGCACTCAAACATTACCAAATTGAAACTTTTGGTGAAACTTAAACAAAAAAAATCGTTACATTTCAGAACCAAATTAACACTGGAAATTTCACATGACATTACAGAGCCAGGTATCACTCGCAAGAATTTCTTCTATCAGTGAAATCCATTTGCTTTATGCAGCATTTCAAAACTTTACAAGTCAGAGTATTTCTTCACAAGAGACTGTTGACTGAACTTTGGGAGTTAAAGCTTAGGTAGCAGATCACTTRTGGACGGCACTACCTTGCTGAAAACTTCTTAGATGTCAAAAGCAAAAGGGAGAGAGGTGTCAGGTAAATTCCRAACACAAATGTAATACTTTTGACAGAACTTAAAAGCTTTCACTGATCACCAGAGTTTATTTGAAAAGTGGTTCAGTCTTATTTTTTAAATCTGAGAACTACCATCCCTGGATACAATGCAAGATAAAAGTACCTTCTTTGTATTCATTACACGTAATGCATACACCATGACTTTTTAGGCTGTTTAAAAATACACAGTTCTGTCTTCTGAATGAATTTCCTCAGTTCATACATTAAGTAACCAAAAGTTGCATCTGTCAGACTAAACTCCTTGTGCTCATATTGATGCCAAATTGAAGATTACCATGAGAAAAAAAATACATTTTTTWAAAGAGCTTCTTGTAAACTGAACTTTTAAATTTTCAATCTTTAGCAGCTTATAAAAGGAATTCCRTTTTTGCTAACTGATTTAAGGGGAAGGAACTGCATATGGTAATAAAAACCTCACTATCTTGGCCCAATACTGTAAAATCAAGCCATGGAGGTTAACAGCAGTGTCCTATTTTTCATGCAAGTTGTGTTAAAGAAAAAATATCAGCAACACTATAGTAAACATTTTCACTTTATACAAAAGAGTGAATCTGCTTGAAAAGTACATGCAAGTATGCTGGCTGGAGTTTAAATAAWTTTTTATTCATAAAAATTAAAATGTTTACTTTTTCAAGGCTAGTGTGATCAATAGTTATCTGTATGAATTATAATCAGAAGAAAAAAAATCTCAGCAACTTAATTTCCAACCTAAAATTCCATAATTTTACGATTGTCATCAAAAAAAAAGCTACTTACAGCACAATAAAATTTCCTCAAAAGCAACTGTAATCTCTGATATAAATATTCCAATTCCAAAGACTTTCTTTCAYACTGTCATACATTCCAAAATTTGAAGAAGTTGTGGGGATCCCCTTCTCCCTGGCCAACTTCATCTGTTTTTAAAAGAAACGCTTATTATTCCATTACAGTTTTGAAATCAGTTTTTATTTTTCTGTTCTGCCAGAGCAAATTTACCATCAGATGGTCCAGGGGCTTGGTCCCAGGGGGGAGGAAGGGGAAGGTGTCCTTGTGCCTGATTCTAAACCCCAACATTCATACACAAGCTCCAGTGCACGTGAGTAACACTGCACCCACTTTTTAGTAGGCTGTTATTGTTCGCAAGCTCCAGGCTAATTCTTCCTACATGATACTCCATTAAATCAAGTCTGAAGTTCTGTCTGCCATTGAAACATTTGGGGAAAAAAAAAAAAAAAAAAAAAAAAAAAGGGAACACACATACATAGTAATACAGTCGACATCTCTACTGTGCTATAGAATGGAGATCTCCACCTGTCACAGTGCATGCAATATATTCATGAAAGAAAATACTCGGTGCTCTCTTTTCTTCACAGTATTGAAACTTCTACTGGAAAAGCAGCTTAAAACTATGCCACAAGACTACACCGGCCATCTTAACCACAGGCAACCTGTTCAGCAGGTCAGGCACTGGAACTTGAATGTTTTTCCCCAAGTTCAAATGAGACTGTCACTGAGACAGAAGACTTGGTCTGCTTTAATTTGCACCAGAAACCTGGTAAGGAAACATTTAGAGCCATTTATTATATGGATTAAATACGACTTCTTTTGCAAAATACAGCATATTTTTCTGTTTGCAAATCAAACCAACTGTCTTTACATGAGCAGATTTACACAGTTGCAGTACACAGATAAGAAAAGTTCATAAATAAAAATTCTACTCCGTATACCATGCCTAGCAATTGTCAAGCCAATGTAACCTCCAATGCATATAAATAGTGTGGCTGATACAGTCTTCACCAAAGATGTGTCTCACGAATCTCTGCAATGATCTGGCTGGCTCGCTGCAAGGCCTGCACACAGGAACACACAAAAGCTAGTTAGTTTTGCTGGAGAGATTTCCCAGGGACATAACAGCAGCARTTTAGGAAGTGTAAAGTTAAAAATCAAATCTAAGCGAATCAGTTTTATTATGAAATGAGCAGCAACCCATTAAATTCTCCAGAAGGGCAGACTTTTTTACCATACACAGTTTTAATCCATTAAACCTTAAAAATAAAAGAGAAACTGTGCCTACTTTATTTCTAGCCTGCTAAACTSCACATTTAAAAGCTCATACGTAATCCTTTCTGGTGATGTATAGGTTTTAATTGTGCTAGCAGAGAAAAGTAATCACTGCCATATTCTTAAAAAGYAGTAAAGCAAAAAGGAAGACAAATCTTCAAGAAATCTCACATTTATATGGTTAACTACTGCCATGAGCTGCTGATCTCTTCATTACCTTTAGCATGTCAGCTGCCTCTTTCCTGCGCTGTGCCATGTCCTCAGACTCCGTGAGAAGGTCATCCAACAACAGGGATTTATACAGCTGGCCCACCAGCTCACTCTGGAGAGTGTCCTTCACGTGGTTCACCAGAAAATGCATCACTGCCTTTGGCACACTGCAAGCACAGAAAGATTATTTCTTCAAAATAATTATTCAAAACCAAGTCTGTTCCTGACTGAAGAATCCACAATGAGGGCAAGCAGCTACACACAGCTTTGGCACAAACTACCAGGAATCTATTACTGCCATAAATAAAAACTCTCACTAAAGTAGCATCATGTACAATACAAAAGTAGAACTAACTGATATAAAAATCAATTCCTTTCAAACAGAATAGCTGCATTGTAAAAAACATGAATAGCATAAAACACAAAATAAGAAYAAATAAATTACTTTGCTCATTAGAAAGGAACCTGTCTCCACTGTGCTAGGGATGACACACTTAAGTATGTCAACCCTAAAATCAAATATAATGTGTGAATGGGAAAGGAGAAAGGCAAAGAAATAATTCACATCTCTGATATTACACAGTACGAAGAGTGCAGTAAAATTAAGGTAAAGAGAGTGCTTCCCTGCCATGAAATACTAAAAATGATTATTGCAAGTACCAGTTTACTAAACCAGTAGACTAAAATATCTGTGAACTCACTAATCTGCTCTAAAATATGGTTGCCAAATTCCTGTATTTCCCCCCCAAATATCCCATATAGGGAAATTGTGTACCATATTTTGTACCACATAGGTACAAAAAAATACATGCAAAGTCAGGTCTTTCCACAAAGACATAAGCAAAACACAGTTTTATATCACATTTCATTAAAAAAAAAAAAAAAGACATTTTTCAAGCAAAACTTTAAAGGTTTTCCCTAGTTGCACATAGCAGTAAACTCTTTTATTCTGTTTCCATCCTTACAGCTAAGTGCAAGGAAACTGACCCACAGTWGTTTCTATTTGATCTTCCCATTTAAAATAACAGGATAGTAAATCAAAATTTGGTCAGAAGTACACAGCAAATTATCCATCTGAATTGAAACATCCTTCAGAAAAGTAGGCATTACCTAAATAATTAATACTATATTAATTATAATTAATAATAATTAATAATAAATAAATAATTAATACTATACAGAATTGAAACCATTAGAGAAAAAAAAAATGCTTCTTCTAACTTTGTAATTCTGTGAAATGTCAAGTTTTACTGCTGCTGTCCCTTCTAAAAAATAAATATATTTTCTCTCTTCTTACAAACATAAGAACACGAGAAAAATAACAAGATTACATATATTACTTGAAAAACAGTATTTGTATGGCTTAAATATTCCAARGAAGTTTGGGTTTACCTGTCCTGAATGTTCTTCCTGACAATAAGGAAGTAGGATTTAATAAGTCGTTCAATCACTTCACAATCTCGTTGCTCACGGGCAGAAAGTTTGCGTGCAACAGGTACAGGCTATGAAAAAAAACCCCTCAGTTTAGCAATTCTACTYATTTGCATATGTAAATAAAACTGTAACTACTGCTCTTTTAGCCTGAGTTTGACAGATGTAACTTGTCTTGCAACAAACATATAATTCTTCAGAAATAAAGAGACATATCAAAATCCAGTTCTGGTTGGAGGGCACCACTACATTTTTTCTAATGCTCTCCAACAGTTCAAATATTTCCATCTGTTTTTTAACTTAAGTAGATTTTAAGTGATTCTTCTCTAATGTAAACATTCAACTTCAGCAAAAGAAGAGAAGGAACYTGAGTTGAGCTGAAATTTGTTTCTGTACCAACAGCTGTCTAGACAAGGAGYTCACTTGCACAGGAATGTGAAAGGAAGCCAGTTTTCCCAATCATAGGCTGAAAMTGGAGCAGGCAGGGAGGTTGCAGGAAGATTGGGATTGGGCAAGAAGCAAAGCTGAAGAGACTGGCTAGAGCTGCCTGTTGCTCTAGTGGAATCATTTCCAAAGATACCATATATTAGTAGCAAAGTTACAAGATCTGGCATTCAGATGTTTTGTTTCCTGAGGCTGAACTACAAAGAAGASGTATTTGTCTTCCATGACTCACCACATCTAATAGGTTTACAGCATGTCCTTTTTGAGGACTAGCAGGYAGGGCTGCAGCTGGCTTGGATTTTTCCTCTGCTGCTACCTCTTCTGATTTGGAGGGTTTCAGCATCCCTCTCCAGCTGCCTGTTCCAGACTCCTGAGATGCATCTGCTGCTGCAGTAGCAGTCTGCACAAACAGCACATTGAAAAAAACATGAGAGAATTAGAACTTGGGCACTGTAAAGCACTATCTGATCAAACCAGTACAGGTAAAACTCACTAAAAAAAGAGATTTTCATAGGTATATTCCTTTCACTCTGTTCTTGCATTCCCCGCTTTTGTTGTCCCTTTGCTGCTTACAGCTGACAAAAAGTACCACTAAAATTCATATTCTCCCTAATAAAGGGTATGGAAAATGTCTCACACAGGGAAGCTCCACAGCATTTTAAGGGCCTACAGATCACTTCTGAAATATGGAGTGGTTTTCCTAAATCATTTAGCTTTTACCACTGTTACCATACATCCTTGGAACACTACAWTGTATACTATCAGGATCATTCTGACAGCATGTTTTGAAGATCACTACAGCTCTTGCAATACTTGTATTTAAATTCTTTGGGGTTTATTTAAATACAAACTGAAGTTTCCTACAATTACAGCTACAAAATATGCAYACTTTTATTTCTAGGTACCACAGCTATGAACATGTTTGTGCTGTTAGAATTTACAGAAGGCTACAGAAACAAAAATCTTCATCCTCTGCAAGTGAAGTTCAGAGATTCTGGGAAGTTCCAGACAAAGAATGACTCACTGATCTCCTGAGAAAAGTACACCCAACTCTTAAACATTAAGAATTAATGGACAGAAGAAATATTAGTGGATGGTATCCATAATATGTTGATTAGTATTAAAAATCCCAACAGTTTATTTTCATGTAGAACAGGGGCAATTTTTATTTTGTACCTTTCCACAAGCCGAATATCTGTTCTATTTACTACTGTGCTTTAAAACTCATTGCTGTTTGAAAAAAAAACATTAAAAGTCATTCAAGGCTCTGTACTACTATTTATATCTTGCTTCAGATATAGGAGGAAAAAAGTGAAATTTATCTATTGTGTTTACAATTAAACACCACAGGCTGATCTTTAAAAAACCAAAAAAAAAACAAAAACAAAAAGCAGTGAGGAAAAAGAACAGTAAATAGAAACCAGCTGAACTGTGCACATCAGAAGTTGCACAACTGCTTAGAAGTATCATAGAACAGACTGTAAGAATTCAAATCAAACTCTATTATAAGAGAATATTATTTTAAGGGAAGCTCCATTGCATTATTTCTGATTGTGAGACATTTGTTCAAAATGACAAAAATCCCTATGCCATTCTCATTCTGTGTTACTGTGGAGCCTGCTCTACCTCCAAAGTAATTTCAGAAACAAAACTACACAAGTGTGGAATGTACCACCTAATAGAGGACAAGTTTTATGAGAAATGCAAACCAAATCTGGCAGCTTCCTGCAACTTCTTAAGTCACAACACTATCTTCGCTGTGGCTCTTGATTTCTTTGTAATTTTTTGCAGCATATCAAAACCTCTAAAACATTGAAGAAAATAATAGTTAAAATTCTACTGTTGACTAGACTTTGACTTTAGCCGTTTTGTTCAGGCCAGAAATGGAAGTTTTGCAGTAAGAGCTGAATATGCAATGAAGCAGAAAGCCTGAGTTCCCTTGGTACTCCTAACAGATGAACTTGTGACRAACTTGTGACTGCCCATCTTTTCTGACTCCAAGCAAGAGCAATTAGCAAAAAAGCCTTTACAGTAATCATGAGCTGTTATTTTAACACAAGAGACAGCACACCCAACGTGTAATAAAACACTGCAGACCACATTTCACAAATATAAGTAYACTAGGGACTCAACATTTATGTGAAACGACACAAAGGAGGTTCAGTTTGAACAAAGCCTGTAAAGATTCCCTGCAGGAAGCAGGAAACTCACATTTTAGCTTATCTTCTGTCCTCYTTCTTTAACTGTCAACACATTAAAAACATGCAGTTTAACAGCCAGGCTGAACACTTTTGATTACAATACTGTTGCACCAAACAATCTATTGACAGTTTGAGGCAAATTATGCTGCATATTTGCACCACAATATATTGCAACCAAGAGTTCAGAGAGAAAGCAGTGACTTGGGCACCCCAGGGCATGTCTTTGCATGCCACTGCACATGGTAAAATCAGTAGTGCCAAGTAATCCACACCAGGTAAGACACACTGTCAGTGACAGAGCACTACAGACAAACTGCTTTCCTTACATCTGGGGTGCACAACAGAAACGGGCATGCAGTGCTTAGAGGAAAAATCAAGACAGACCTTGCCATCAGCCTCAGCAGAAGCAGCAGTAACAGTCTCCTGGGAAGCAGGTGCCAATGCACCTGGAGCTTTAGTAGACTAAGGAAGGTAAAAAAACGCAGGGAGGAGGGAAAAAAAAAAATCAACTGAAGACCACCAAAATCTACCTAGCAGATTTCATACATTTTTACCTACTAGCATCTTTCAAAATCCAGTGAAAAAATGTTTTTAATTTGCAAGAAAAATAGCAATAGAAGCAGGAAAAAAAGAAAAAGAAAAGGAAAAAAGGCCAAAAAAAGGCAAAAAAAGAAAAAAAAAACAAAAACAAACAAAAAAAACACCTCCGCATCTCCAAGACAGTTAAGAGACTTTTGGATTATCTGACCTTCAGTTTCATTTCAGCTCCTACCCTGATGACATAAATATGAAATCAATAAAAAGAAGAATCAAAGAGCACTGAAAGCAATCTGTAGATAGCTACCTTAAAATCCCRGTTAATCCATCAATTGTCTTACACTGATTAAAGGCAGTAGTATTAGATCCACTCTGGGACTCTGTCTCATTTTTCAAGGTAACGAACTTACTGAACCAATTTTTAACAGTTGTAGAAACTCCTGTTACAACCTCATGAGGAGCTTAAACTATATTCTGTATCTTTGAATTTGAAATACTTCACATAATATTAAATAACTGTCTAAAATTCCAGTTTATTGTCAGACTGTTCTTTTCTACAGCCAGWCAACAGTTTCCATGACACTTGGCTGGTTCTTCCACCCATGTCATTGCACTAATCCCAAAACCTGCTAAAATTAAGCAAGCTCCAGAAACAGAATACATGACTGGATGACAATAAACAACTGAAAATGTCACCTCAGCATATTGTCCCAAAGAAAGCAAGACTGCAATAAACTGCAATTTTAAGAGTGACTTAAAAAGTCACTATATGGGCACACTGGATGTTTTMAATCACTTCTTTATCATTTGAAATCAATGTGTCTCAGCTATGAAATTAAGCAGGAAAGGTCTGAATCCATCTTAAACATATGCAGGCATTTTATACTTTACCTGAGATGACATTCAAATAATAAGTGTAATATTAAAGTAAATTTATAGACAAGTCTTCAGAAATACCCAATTTAAAACCTCCCAAAAATTGCATCTTTTTAAGAAAATGGCATTCCACTTCTATCTTATGAAATTGAAAGGAAAAAACTCAATACTTGTAAGCTCCCAAGACTGTTACTAGGGCAGCATATCAAAATTTCCAATACTTAGACTRGATCTAGGAGAATGCATTAAACTTTATATAAAAAAATAAAATCAAACATTTACTTACCTTGTCTCGTGACACAGCAGAAGGCAATTCCCGGGCTAATCTGTTCCGCCTTTGTTCCTTTAAAAACAATCCAGCAAGACCTCAGTTGTCAACACGTGGGCAAAATTCACATTTTACAGATGACTTACATTTTAGAGACAAACACGAGTAATTTCATCTCATCCAGTGTCATCCTAATACAGTGGTYTATAAAACCCTTGATTATTTGGATAAAATTGCTTTGATTACCTGGTCAAAACTAAATTCTCAGTATAAAAAATTTTGCAACTTTTTTTTTTTTGCCCCAAACTCCCTAATCAAAACCTGAGCCTTTGGAAAACAACATCAAAGATACAAAATTTGGCTCAGCATAGATACCTTACAGCCCTCATTAGGCTGTAAATCCTCCAAGTAATCGAAAGGATTTGATTCTGTGGCCAGCACATGATTAGCCCAAAAGGAAGGAGGAGGCAGAATTCACTTCATGGCAAAACAGCATTTGATGCAATCAGGACAGAGAAATATCTGATTCTGCTTGAAATTAACATTTGACTGTCCACTGAATAAGGCTTGGGTTTATATAGGTTGAATGAAAATCTTCAAAGATTTKAATGTCTTGTTTAGGAAAATGTTAGGAAAGAGCTAGTTTAAGTAACACATAATACAACAATTTTGTATGTTCAGCTTCACAAAGTCTTAATTTCTGTATCCACAGCAGTTTCCATACACATTGATTGTGAACTAGCCTAAAGAGCAGTTTACCAAGTCAAATTCAATTGCATACCTAATCAGTACAAAATTTATGTATAGAAGGAAGTAAAACTTTCTGTTAAAACTAGAGAGTAGTAAGTGTAATGTAAGCATTTTAAAAAAGAATACTACAAGAGTATGTAGTGACAGGACAAGGGGGAATGGCTTCAAACTGAAAGAGAGTAGGTTTAAGTTACATATTACATAGGAAGAAATTCTTTACTGTGAGGGTGGTGAGGCAATAGGTTGCCCAGAGAAGCTGGGGATGCCCCAGCCCTGGCAGTGTTCAAAGCCAGTTTGGACGGGGCTCTGACCAACCCAGCTTAAAGAAATGTGTCCCTGCAYGTGGCAGGGGGGGTGGAATGAGATGACCTTGCATGACCTTCCAATCCAAGCCATTCTATGATTCTGTGATGAATGAAAATGATGTGTTGAGTAAACACAAGGGTATTAACAAACTCTTAGCCATAGAGATGAAGCATTGCAACAACACCAGATGGATCCTTCCAATCTAGCAGATTACTTGTTGAACTGCTTCTAAGGGATGATGGCAGCAACAAGTATTATCAGTCAACTTTGGGCTTGAAAAACACAACTACTGATAGGAGATTCATGGAAAGAATGTCTCAGGGAGACTGAAGTGTGGTAACACAGRGATTGAAGAACAATGCCAACAGCAAGCAGAAATTAGAACCTGAACAGAGGAAACAATACTAATATTATCCTCTCATGAATGAGAGGAATATTATTTGATACACTGTGTCAGAGAAAAAAAATGCAGTTACTTCAACATTAAGTGCCATTTCACAACTTCATTTAAATTTCCCCTTATAAAATTTCATTTCATAAGTAATACTCAATTAGGTGCCCCACTTATTTTCCAGACTAAAAAATAGGCAGAATCCTTTCAATAAACATCAACCACTGTTCCTGAATGTAACATGCACTAGAAATTAACAAATCCACAGATCACATGAGTATACAGCATATTCATAATTCACCACATTTCTAATACCTCAAAATGTGGAAAGGTGTTTCAATGAAAGAAGTTGAAGCATTTTTTATTTTATCAATTTCACTTTCACTTAAAAASACAAAAAACTTTTTAAAAGAACATATTTTCTTACCTCTATGTTGTTATTCATTAACCCACAGGCATCAGCAAAGTCTGGATGTTTGGTATTGATATAAGCTAACTCAATGGCCACCAAATTRTGAACCTGCAATGCAAGACATTCACAGATCAAAAATTCAGGGAGTAAATAATGCCAATGAAGAGCAGTGACCTACAATGCTGGGGAGCAGAGCTTAATCACCCATAGCCAAAGACCATTCTGCCACAAACTACCTACATGTGAGCCAGGGGGGGCTGACTCTATGAAGGATAGTGAGTATACAAAACAATTTTTGCTTTTCGCATCAAATGCACGTTCCATTACTGAAACACTGTTTACTCCACAACAGGCAGTCCAAATCAGACTTGCATATTAAAAGATACTTACTTAAAGCTGCAAGTTGAATTTTTAGTTTTCACTAGCTAAAGGATATTGAAAAAATGTCTCTAAAACACAAAGAATGAGGATTATAATTCAATTTTCATCACTGCATCCCAAACTCTACACTAAATGCACAGCATCTGTTACAAGGGAGGGAAATACACCTATAAAGAACGACTAGAAGATGTTAAATTGAAGTTCTAGAAGAATTCTTCTTGGAAAATTGAAACATAGGAGACAATATGCTTAACCCTAACCCCATCCCTTTTTTTTTTATGTATCTATATTCTAATATAGAAGACGTTTTAAACCATCTAGATATTAAATAACTAGCTTTTTAACAAATACAAGTCGAGATTCCTTGAATAACTTGGGTTTATACTGCAAACACAAAGCATCAAGACTCCACAAAACATACACTTTTACCAGCAAAATTACAGCAGATGRAAACTTACCATTTCATTTGTGACAGGAAGTCTCCTACGCAAAAGACAGGTTACTACTTCAACTATGGCATCGTGCAATTTAGGAAACCTCAGTAATTCCTAARAACAAATCAAAAATTTACTGGTGAGACTTCCAGAACTTTTTAAGCAAGTAGTGACCCACACACACACACGCCAGTAATTACAAAATCAATTCTAAAGCATGCATTTTTACCTGTGTACTGTAATTACTACAATGCTGGATAATCCTCTGCATTTCYTCATGAACCAGCTCCACACAGCGYAAGCTTGGTTCTTCCAAACGTTTGATTTGCCTTTTTACCAGCAACTCAAATGAAACCTCAGGAACAAACAAGGCAGGACGGGGACCCTGGTTCAAAAGGAGGGAAAAAGCTGCTTTATTGTCTATAAAACAAGATGCATTTCTAAGAAGTAGTGTCTGATGAGGCCCAGAATAAATCAGGTCACAGTGATCACACCTGGCACTCAGAGCAGGTCTCAAGAGTAAAATATGTTACAAGAATATTAAAAAATAAAAACTGTAAAGTTGCTATCTTGAAGACAAACTGGGCTAAATAKAGATTAACCAGCATCCCTATGGAATCTTGGGGATTTCTACCTACTCATGTTACTTTAAGTTTATAAATCTGAAAAATGCTTTTCACATATGTGGATCCACATTTAGATTAAATTTACTATAAAGGCAAAGACAATTTCAGAGAGGAAAATTGCCATTATTTATTGGACAGTCTTGGACAGATAATACCATAGCAACAAAATAGATGGGTTTCAGTGTTCAGAATAATTTCATTTATGACCACACAGACCAATGCTTAGCTACACATAAAACATTTTTTATCTGAAATATAACATCTTCCCTGTTACTAAATCCTGATTTTAAATTTTTCCTTTACAGGATAGGAACATGCACACAGATCATTGCTACAGAGTACCTCAGCTCCAAGACCATACAGAATCTTGTCTTTTTATCCATACCCAACAGACACAATACAAAAGCAGACTGACATGTTTGACTTTCAAAGTCAAGCTCTAAGGAGTGAACATTCTACATCCAGCAAAATTTAAAAGTGAGCTTTCTCTRTTAATTCTTAGCAACACCAATCCCCATATTCACCAGGAGCCACATATGTCATGAAAAYACTGAACCATTTCAAAGTTGTGTCCTTATATAGAACTTAACCTTTGCTCCCTAATGTATAGCCACAACACTTAGGAATACAGAAAACACTCACAGTGGCATTTCTAATGGCAGTCAGAATGTCAATTGTGTTAAGGCCACCCAGAGGGTCAACAGATTCTAAAGTTCTTCCAAAGGTCTCATGAAAAATATAACAGATTCTGGCTCCACCACACCTGAAAGAAGAAAGTAACAACTGAAGCAGCAAACAAGAAGAAGGCTCTCATTGCAAACAGTTGCCTGAATTCAAACATTTTTGAGTATGTTATGGTCCAGTGTAGTAACATGCCGGTGAGTCAACCTTACTGGGTAAAGCTAACCACTTAGTCAATATTACAAGGAAACATTTGTACTTACAACTCTGAAGTTTCTATGTATTTTGCYGTTCCTTCAATGGTGTTACAATATTCTGTGGCAAATTTGGTAATAAGCTGCAATAAAGTAGCACTTTTGTCTTCWACAGGTTCCCCATAGCTGTTCAGTAGAGACTGGTACTGAGCAGCTAAAACATTAATTCTGGTTTTCAGTTCTGGCAAGCAATCCCTGATATGATGCATCAGCAGTCTAAAAATAGAAAACAGTCCCTCATTAGAAGGGAGGAAAAGTTTCACTTTATCATCCCCATCAAAGCAGAGAAGAGACAAAAAATAATCACCAAAGGAAAGCATTTACTTGGGAAAATTACAGTAAATTCAGAACCAGGGAGAACCAGAATTGGGAACCAGTTTTCCTTAATGCATTACTGTACAGCACCAAAAGAGAAACAAACTAAGGGTAAAAAGAAAGGTCTGCACATATGTCTAACACATCAGTTGATATCTTAAAGTAATACCTGTTCAGTGTTCTTGCAAGGTACTTGGTTCCATTTCGGTTGGCGAGGGAAGGGTACTTCTTTTGAAGAAAACCATACTCATCACGAATGGAATCAGCCACACTCTTCTTATTGTTAATATCCAACTGGCTCCTGAAGGTAAAAGGCAGAGTTACACACTAATTAATGGATGCAAAGTAAAAATAATTCACACTTCTGCTTTTCTGGWCAGAACATTTAACAACTGGTTTTTGCTTTATACAGTTAACTCACCTTCCTTAGACTTTAAAAGCTTTTATTTGTTGCTCCATGGAGCACAGTCAACTAATCAGTATTGGTAGCAACTGTACACAGACTAAGCAATGTTTTTATCAAAACTACATGAGATTTGACCCAAGTAATGTAAAAAATACAGCAAACAATACCATAGCCATATCCAGTTAGGATGAATATATACAGGGCCTGTGCTGGATCAGAGCTAATGTGAACAGCTGTTAGAAGCACCCCTCAAACTGAAGGACAACAGCAGAAGTGGTGAGACTAYAGCTCTTTTAGGAGTGTCTCTACTTCTCTCTACATTGGCAGTTGYAGTGGAAGAACAAAGGCTTTTGAGAAGTGAGCAACAAGCTCCTCACTTACTTATTCAGAAGTTTATTTCCACATCGTCACCTTATTCTTAAAACTATATCCATGACTAAAAAAGCAGAAAGCATTACTTGATATTAACACAGTTTTAAAATAGCACCAATGTGCCCACACAGACCTATTCACTACTCCAATGATGCCAAGTTTGACTGGAATCACTCTTCCCATGAGCACATCCATAGCATCAGTGCCAGCATCCATGAGATCCAGCTTTGTGATAACAGCAAGGGTTCTTCGACCTACCAAAAGGAAAACACTCACAGGGATGTTCTGATTTGATCAGAGTAACTAAAACTCATAATTCAGCAAAGTGGAGAATTAGTGACTAAATTAATTAAATAAGTAAATACTGCCCATCTAAACCAGTAAGCTAACATGCACAGGATTTGTCTGGGATCTTAATATTTCCTGAGCTCTTGATCTGAAAAAAGAATATGCCAAGAATTTTTTCTTTAAAATATAACACATTTTTTGAGTCTAACAAAAAAAATCAGCACATCAGTGAAATCAGTAGGTTTTTGGGGTCTTGAAACTGATGTGAACATACCTACTTTAGTGCTTTAGGTTTGCATTACACAGCATTACTCCTGGAGAGCTGCAACATGATCTGCCATGCTAGACCTTTAAGTTTCAGATTTTTGGGAAGTGATCCAAAACACACTGTCAATCATTTTCACAGGGGAAAAATAAAAGGGGTCTGCTATCTTGAACCAGGACCGCTTAACTGAGCAGACTACCAGAAGAGGTTTTTTCTCAAGGTTTTGTGGAAGACAAGCCAAAGCAGATGTGGAGTTTGAAAACAATCAAGAAGTATTACACTTCATGGGAAAAAATGTTTAAGGGTAAAGCATACCAACACTAAATTTCAGCCTCATTTCCCTACACCTATTTTCCAAGTATATTAATCCATGTTTTTTCAAATCACAGAGTGCCATTTGTTAGCCAATGGTACCAACAGCACTTTGAAAAAGCAAGAAGCAGGCAGCCAGGAGCTTCAGATCTGTTTCAAAGTCCTTAGGTAAACACAAAATAATAATCTTCTTTTTACATTAAATCAGTCAGTTCTCCCACATAAATACAGGGCACCAAAATGGAYACTGACAGTATATATTAATCTTACCCTTACTAAAAGCCACTAAACAAACAGACAGTCTATTATGAGCTGCAGGGTGGCATATTTTCTCTAGTAAGAGAAACAAAATTGGACAATAGAGCATGAAATTGCCCTAACAGACCACTGCAAACTACTAGAACTCTGAAACCCCCAATACCATTTTGCTGCTGTGGAAATACAAGTGACTCCATGACTACTAGAATAATTACTTGGCCTGCTGGCAAGCAGAAATCTATCAGTTATTAATTCATCCCAGCATTCTCTTCCATTGCAGAGACTGCAGCAAGAAGTCTTTAAGCAAATATAAAAATCGTATTTTCTAGGAAATGTGGTGCCATTTGCTTTTCTTACTGTATTTCACCCAAACAACTTCAGTTTTAAGTTCAGATTTAGTTTTAAAAGAAGTGGAATTCCAGCATCCGGTTTGACTTGGTGCTCACCATCTGGATCCACCTCCCGAGCTATTTTCAGTGCTTCAGAAGTGGCCATGTCTGTGTTGGCRGCCGTGACTGCCAGGATAATCGAATTGGGATTGCTGATGAACTGAAGGATGAGCTCTCTTATCTGAAGTTCAATGTCTTTAGGCTGATCACCAACAGGCACCTAGAGAAAAAAAACAATATGGGACTGTTCAAAACTGTGTGTTTATGCCTGCATGAGGCTTGGTGTCCAAGAACCACCTGCCCAGCTGGCAGACTGGGGTGTGTAAGTGTACATGGGCAGGGAAAGAATCATCTTGCCATCTTCATGTCTCAGAAAATCATTCATGTGTAACCTGAACAAACAGAATCTGAACATTTCTTCTGGGGTATCCTCACTTTAAACAGCCTCTTTACATAAAATCCTCATACCAACTCCTGGAGAAGCAATGTGGAAAATGTTTTCCAAGTTGCAAATACTCGTCTATCTGCAGGTACATCTCTGAGACCTGGAGTGCTACCTCTTCTAGGAAAAGGAATATGCAGCCCACATATTTACCATCAGTTATATGTAAGAAGAGRAGAAATATAAGCAAATCTACCTCTTATATCAAAGAGCATCAGAAACTCCAATCTTACATCAGAGGACAGTGATATATCCAATTTATGCAATACTACTTGACATGAGAACAGGCATTTGTCTAACAACACAGAACAATGGCAAACAGTGAACAGGCACACCTTGTTCAACAATAYACTCTTCACACTGAGTCAGAACAGGAGAATTCTGTATCTCACCTTTGTCATTCCTGGTAAGTCCACAAGAGTCAGATTTACAACATTAGATGAAAAAATCTTAAGATGAATCGGTTCAGGACTGATCCCCTAGAAACACATCAATGAGAAGCAATAATTACTGCCCTGGGTTATTTAAATACATCATTTAAAAATCCAAAGGCTGTAATTTCGTTACTAGAAAGACTTTTCTTTCACCATATACTTTAAAACACACAGCAAGGGAAAAAAGCCAAACACATCTGTCAACCAATTATTTCGTCTTTTGCAGCACCCAATTTTGTAATTACACATAAAGTCATGTATGTGGAAAAATGAAAGCAAGTTTAACTCAAAATTCTTTTTTTGCACTTTTATTACAGCACCTTAAATTAAAGTAACAATTCTTTTAGCTGAAGTCATTTATGTCATGAACACAGTGAAAAAATATCAAGACAGAATGCAGCATTGCTGCATTATTCATCAGAACAGTTAGATGCTTTTCACTCCTAGCTGCCAAAACTGTTTAAGAAAGGTTTAWGCAGCAAGAGAATCAATAGCAAGACAAAGATGGACAATGCAAGCTTTACCTTATTGTTTCCTGAAATCCTCTCAGTTTCATTTTCTATTTCCTGACGAATTTCATCAAAATCTGTATAGATCTGAGGTAAGAAAGAAAAAAAATATTTCACAATCRAAGACAGCATTCACTTACTTAATTGCAAAATACTGTTCACTTCTCCAAGGGTTGGTGAAAAATACTCTAAGTCTACAGAATAAGAAAAAAGAAGAATTACTGTTAGCCTTTAAGGTGTATGCTGATGCTAACAGCAATCATCAGTGATAAAAATTACAGAAACTGGCATTTAATCTGTTGACTAATTTGTGAGATGGCAGTTATTAGCACTTATAACCCACCAACGCCACAAGTTATTAATTCATGTCCACCTAAAGAGAATTTCAAACACTTAGTTCCATTTTGAATCCAGCTGTAATCCTTTGAAGTTAATCAACAACATGTAGCCTAAACCTCTTCTMGTCTTGAAGAGGACAAAGGGCAGAGTTCCATTTTCAAATTTTTCCACTCTTGTAAAAACTGTTATGTTTCCAACAATGCAAAGTAAGTTAGCACAGAGCTACCCTTGCACTGGTGCCTTCTCTAGCTTTCCTTCAATTTCTAGCACTGCCTAGAACGTGAGGAAATCAGTTTAAAGTAACAAACATTTATACAATTTATCTGCCAACAGAAATATTACTTTCTTCAAGCAAAGAATTAAGCTTTGACTCTCTTAATGAAGTGCTAGGTCATGACAGTTTGTGCTCCTTGACCYTGACACACATGAGGCTCTTCCTTCTTTCTAATAAACCCCTGCGGTAGCCAATTCTTCAGTGGACARAAATGACTTGTGATCACACCTATCTTTGTCTTTGTGACGGCCATTCTAATTATGCCAATGCACAAAACAGAATATTCAACAAAATAACCCAAGAAAGACCAAGATAAATAACTCAGCAGAACCAATGACCCACACAACAGACATTTTATGTTCTCAAAGGTTTTCTACTCATAAAAAATAAAACACAAAATCCTCAATGTTCTGCCATATAGTACAGCAGGCATAATAATGCCAATAATCATCTCTTTTTCAGAAAAGTCAAGGGAAGAAATAGTAGAATTAAGTAAATGTATGTTAAMATATTTACAACACTGTTACTACACCATCAGAAGAAACATACCTTATTTTTGGTGTGAAGAAATTTACCCCATTCTGCAGCATCTACCTCTGAAAACAAAAATTGATACATGAGAATGATGAAGCAGATGTTTCAACAACATTTATCCAAGGCCTGTTCATTGAAAACTACATGATTTTCTTTTAAAGYAGCARAAGAAAAATTAGTTAGCTTTCTACAGTTAGATGTTAAATAGCTGAGTACAGATTGATGATACTGTCAATTGAAACATTATATCGCATTACTATGTCCAATTTGTCTCACACAAGGTCCGCCTTCCTACCTGTGACTGAGCCAATCACCTATCCTACAACCTTTCAGAAATGGTCTTGTTCACTAAATATCAGCTTATAACAGAAAACAAAACAATGATTAGCAATAGTTTAAAAAACTTGGAAAAAAACAAAGGCTAGCTTTTAGCAACTTYGCTTTTACCATGCAAGTGAGATCAAAGTACAGCTGAAAGAAAAAGTTAGAAAAACCTGTGGGACTAAAAGCAAGCAAACAGAAAATACATAAGAATTGTGCATAACAAAGAAGCCTTAGGAGAAGATGTCTCTTCCCAAATCTATCAAGGACCAAACATCTTCTCTCTTGTCAGCCACCACTGAAATCCAGAATTACTTGGGGACTTTGCAAGAGCAGTCCCAGAAACAGCAAAGAAGGTTTTGTTCAATTCCTGCTTTGCAGCACAGGCAGTAGTTTAAATCACACTGCAAGACAGTCACACTTTCACAATTAGGTTTTCAAGCATTAGGGGACAGATCCATTTCCAATTTTTGGTTTGTGGTYACTTCCCCTGTGCTCTCTGACACAGCAATCTCTCTACAAGAACAGTCAACAACAAATCTGGCCACTTGGCCACCACACTGTTTATCTACAATCAAGTAATCKTTCAAAACATTTTTGTCACTTAAGCTGAAATTTAAGAAACTGCTCAACAAAGATTTTTTTGGGGGGATTTGGGAATTAAAAGTGCAGGAAGTTCTATGAAGCAGCAATGGCACAGAAGAAAAGCAAATTCATCTCATTCTARTGCAACAAGGTCAGAAAACTGAAAATCAATCAGACCACAAAACTCAGCAAAATAATCACCACAGTAGCTGAAGTGTAAAAGGAAAAGTGTAATCAACAATAATGTGGCATGAAATGCATGTGATTAGTGTATATAAGCATGCACTTCAGGTGTAGGGAGAAAAAGCAAGTGGATAAAGGCAACCTTTAGAAAGGTGTCTTGGATTTTTCCATGTAGCAGGGTCTGCAGTTAAAGAGAAACAGCATTGAATGGTGTTTAACATTTTTAATCACATTTAATATATAGTTTTATTAATTTTCAGCACCAGATTCTATTACAAAGACCACAAATGCATGCAGACAGATGTGCATACTACTTTAGTTTTGATGAGTGTGTAACATTAACAATATGTACAGAAATAAGATCTTAACTAAACATATATAAATGTTGCATATTAATCAGATAAGTCTATAAAACAAAGTTTACTTGATGATAACTATTACTGCCATTCACCTAATTACAACAGCTCACAATATTTTCTTCTCTGAACACAGAAAACAGCACCATTGGGCTCTACAAAGTTGAACTTCTCTGGCAAAATGTTTCTTGTCATTTACTCATGGCAAGAACCAGAAAGAGTAAAGAAACATCTTAAATGTCACTGGAAGTCGTGTTACTGTATGGGAAGGAAATCTGATCCTGTGCATCAATATTTTTAAGACTCCATTAAAAAATTACATCAGCTCTGAGACAGATTTAAGAAGAGATAATATAAGTACCATCCTTCTCAACTTTTAGGTTTTTCAGTGTATGGAAATCCCATTACAAAAAGCTCCACAACTTTTCCTTGAAGGGTTGAAGAATTTTGATGTGATGTCTGTAAAACACCATGAAAATGCAAGAAGCAAAAAAAAGTGGTGAAGACATTTTTGGTTCATGCCTGTTTGGTCCAAAATGCAAGTAGCACAGCAATGATCAACTCAGCTGTTTGAAAAGCTTAGCTCATCTGGAGAGTTMATGTCTTGCTCAGTCAAAGGCGTGTGTATCATCAATGGAAATATGATTTTGGTGGTCTGAATCTGTTAAGGAAAACCTTTTAAAAACCAAACTCTCATCCCTACTGTTCTGCAGGCACATGAGCTATGAAAAAAATCATCATTAGGAAAAAACTTTTGTTGGTCTTGGTTGGGAAATAGGCAAAGTTACATAGCAGTCTCCAAAATAACTGAAAAATGAAGACGTTCCTTTATTCCAGGTTATTTAAAAGGTTTAGTTTATTTACTGTTCAGAGGAAATAAAGCAAAATGCATATGGAGGAAGAAACTACAGTATGTCCAGAATTGTATTGCYCATGTTCTCTTAAAAATTGAGTCTCAGAGAGTAAAGAGAGGCCTAAACCAGGAAGAAAARTATACAGCAAGACACTGCCACTGTTACATGTGAAAGATATGGAYCAAGCACTCTCCAGTTATGTCCCTCCTCAGGAGATGATTTCCTTCTCAGACACTGTTTTAGTCTTATATTATTCTCTTTCTGGTGGCATGGAAATTTGCAGCAAGGTACTACGTTTAATTCTATGTATAAATAACTTTTTTTTTCAGTATAATCCATAAGCTTCTTAAAGTAAGTATTAAAAAGACACACTCAAGTCAGAGACACTGACTTGCGATTGATTTTAACTTGCAAACAACTACAGATAAGCTTCCCAACAGATCTAATTTAATGGAAAGAAGTTTTTAAGAAAGGAGGAAGGATTTGCATTTCTCTAAATGTGACAATGCTCAAGGCAAGGAGAAAGTATTCTAATTAGCCTATATTCACTGTTCTGGTTTTCATTTATCACCCATTTAACTTGTAAATCAGTCTTCCTTTACACTGGGAGCAAAGAGAAGCTGCTGGGAGTCGTAAAAGGCCACCATTACAGAAGATTTCTGATAAAGCAATCTTCTTACAGAAGATTCTGAAAGCATGATAAAGAACATTTCCCAAACACTAACTTCCTAGCTTTCTAGTGTTCATATCTTCACAGCTCCTGGACACCGAAGATGACTATCTGTACTCTCCTTCCCCCAGGTCGTATCACCTCATGCCTTCCTAGCTCTTTTTCTCTCAATTAAAAAAAAAAAGTGACTTGTAAAGAAAACATGCACATTTTCCAATCCCTTCTATATGTTATACCATTATTTCCAYCTTTGACCCTAACTAGATTGCAAGCACTTTTGAGAGAAAGCTCTTTTTCTTTTGTGTTTCTACAAAGCCAAGTCCAATGAAGCAGGCCACACTGTTTGGGAGCTAGGGGTAAGAGATTCCTATCTGAAGTAGGGAGCAAAGGGCTGATAATTTATCAAGCAACAGATCTGCACTAGTCCTGTGTTTTGTATCAATTCTGTCTGTTCAGAATTTGAACAATCTTCAGTTTCCTATCTTGGAACAAACGAAAAAAAAACTATAAGCATTTTCTACTTGGCCAGTGGTATGTTCTCTCTTATTTTCCATTTCTGAGCTACCAGAATAGGTCTTTACCGCAAGACCAATTTAATAATTCACAAGACCAGGCCCAGTTCTCTGATAAGTGCTGCTTCTCTTGCAATTTGATCAGAGAACACCACAGTGTGGTATCACTACATTGAACACACCATATGTGCTGAATCACTAGAGGCTAACAGTAAACAGCAAAAGCAAAATGCGAACACTTCCYTCATGTCAAATTACACACATTCTCTGTAGAACATACATATCAGTCTGAAATATCATGTTATAAAAATACAGAACTTCCTATTTAATGGAAAATTTATCTCTGGTATTTTCTGACTCTCTTGATTTAYTGCAGTGACCACGGTACAAGGGTATCATTTGTCCCTCCTTAAGTGAATAGCACAGCAGTCAATGTGCTTTGTGTTAAAAATGAGGAAGCTTCCTGGATACCAACATTCCAACAGAGAATAAACGTCAGCTTTTAAGAACCACAGAACAGTAGCTATTTCGAAATGCCTGTGTTAATATACAATACCTGGAGATATKTAGAGCATTAGGATGGACACAGGCAATAACCACAAAACAGAAGTCAAAAGAGAAGTATGAAAGTATCTGTGTCTACAGAGAGTTCAATGCCAGCACTCAGAAAGCAGCATGCCAAGACTGATACTCTTGTCATGCCAAGACTGATATTCTATTGTTCAATATTCAACTTGTAAAGTAGAAATCCCTCAACTGGATAAAATCCTTTTCTGCAAGACTATTTCTCTCCGGAAAAACCCAAATCCATGTTCAATCCTACCTCAACATCCACCTCATTACAAATGAAATTACCTCTAAAAATAGACCTCTAATGGCACTTATTATAATGTCACACAGCACAGCTAGGATAAGAGGTTGTCATCTTTTTTCTTTCCAAGCTACTTGATCCCCTCTTCTCAGATGTAACATCACAATCTGAACACAGGCTAAACCAGAGCAGTGACAAGACCATTTACACATGATTTGCCTGAATTTTGGAGAGAAGAGACATTTCAAACTCAACTGGTAAATCATGAAGGTTTCTCTGTTCTTGCCAAATAAACCTACACATCTCTCAGACACACAAGATGAGATTGTAACATGTACCTCTTCCATATTGATTGTTTTCCTCCAAAAAATAAAAGTGGGCATCATAAATAATAATTTTGCCCAACATTCCTTGTGAATCTTAAATTTAAACAACAAATCCCCAAATCAAATGCAACCTAAAACAAAAAGGTTATGCCTTGACTCAGAATATTCCAATTATAAAACCTCCTTTTATACCCATAAAGTTACAAAGAAGAACAAAATCATATTTAACCCCAGAACTCAGAATCCAAGCATTCTGAGAAGTTCAAGAAATACAAACGATACACTGCACAATACAATCARTGTAAAACTGCATTTAAATACATTAAATGTGTCATTTCTAAAAAGTTACCCAGTGACTGAACTGTCCATCCTAGGAGGTTTTCAAACCCAAATGGTTAAAAGCCCAAGAAACCTTGTCTAGAGTTCTGATTGGCCCTATTTTGAGGAGATTGGACTAGGTCTCCTGAGATTATTTCCAGCCTGAATTATCCCAACATATCCTCACATGGTTTGCATGCTAATTGAACCCTAACTGTGTTCTCTGCTTGTGATAATAGTTAAGACTGAAGCTGAAACTTGGAAACAGCACAATACTAGTGATTTTTGGTCCTTCAGAAACCAAAGGCCACAAATATTACAAGAAAAAAAAATACTGYAAAGAACTTCTGGGACTTGGACTTATTACTGCTAGAAATAAGTTAAGAAAAAATTGACCACAATGAGAATTAGCAATTATAACTACAAGTTTATAACACCAACAACATCCCATGTGGTTGTTACTGTCTACATAAAAAAGCTAAGATTTATCTCACAATCAGAAGGTGGATATGCCCTGCTGCTCCTTCCTAAGATCAGGAGCATTAGTTGGTATAAAATGAGTATTGAAACTCMCAAGGGACAACTGAGATCACTTGCTTGAGCTGCTGAAGGATAAACTACAAACAGTACAGAAGACAAACTTCAAACTAAASAGCTTCAGAACATTTAAAGTGCTGTGCTTGATGCACTTGGGAGTCTCTCAGTGCAGCACAAAAAGGTGGCATCTGTAAGCTACAGAACGTGTCAATTCAATTCCATTTGAATCTACTACAGGTTTGTTTTCACTGCTCCTTCTTCCACTTCATTCAGAACTTACCTATTTCCTAACCTCCTTCTAAGAACTCTGACACTCATCATCCTCTCAATGAAATACCTTATCTATACAGCAAAAGAGGAGGGGACATAAAACACACACAAGAAAACCATGCTATGTATACTCCAGATAATTATCTTTATAACTGAAATGCTTTCTTTGGTATATTTTTCTCAAAAAGAAATTCCCAAGAACGGGAAAGCTTAAAACATTAAAGATATTTTGAATGTCCAAAAGATTCTGACTTCATGACATTTGCAAAACGAACAAAACAGATGTGACAAAAGCTGTGTTTTCTTCCAAGTAAAGTTTAAAAAGCATACTTGAGTTTTAAGATTACAACTGATTTTTTATTTAAAAGAACAAGGAAAACTTTAATTCTCTTTCTAAAAAAGCAAAATACATTCTTGGATCACACTTACCATTTTCATCTCCAGCCCCTTTCCGACCATCCTCTGGGGAAACATGCACCAGCTGCAGAATAAGGGGTCTCCGGGTGACAACTCCAGTGCCTCGTGGGAGCAGATCCCTCCCCACAAGACTTTCCAACACAGAACTTTTTCCACTGCTCTGAAAAGTAGAATACAGCTACATTACCTTYTTAAACATAAAAATGCTGTGAGATTTTAGTTTGCTTTCATCTAGCCTGCAAAGCATGCTCTGTTTTGTCCTCTGCTATAAGCCTGAAGGAGCATATGACAGACTCCCTGCAGACACAGCAGTGTCACTGCACAGGCACTGAAGGACACAAGTCTGCTACAAGCCAGTAACTGTGAAAACGTAGTTGGGATACTTATAACAGATATCTATCTACAGGGTTTTTAAGTGTCCCATGATTTTTATCTCTTAAACTAAACATATAATGGGTTTCARAAAAATTAATCTTCTATTTAACATTTTCTACCACAAATATGAAACTGTCAACAAACATTGCTAGAAATAAAAATGTTTTCCTCTATAAYGCTCAGAAGGAAATTCTATGTCTTCTACTATGCCATTTTCTAACATCTTGAAGTAAAAATTTACTTTGTAAACTRCAGAATTTAACTCTCTGTTATTATTCGTTAGAGTTAACATGAGCTGGCTGTATTAATATAAGCAGCAGCATTATACAAACACCTATGTACACTTGAGTACATTAGGCTGCTACAATGTTATATTCCTTTCTGTTTGAGGTTTGATTGGGTGGGGTTTTTTTTTTGTTTCAGTTTTTTTGGTTGGCCGGTTTCTCAGCTGGGTTTTTTGTTTTTGTCTTTTTTTTTTTAATGTATTGTATCAGTTTCGTAAATACAGCCATTGTTTTATATCCTAAACACAGCAACAAATTGTTTCATGGCATCCCACTCTCTCTCCATGTATATATTTAAGTATTTACAACTTCATTGACTGCAAACATCTGTGTCCATAACAACAAACAGTAAAAAGTTGGRAAATACTTAAAGGCTGTGAAATTATAAATACTCTTTGAGAGTCTACATTCAAAATGTTCTTCTGCAGGACTTTGGTATAAAATTCATAATTGGTCCAAGAAGCAGCTATGAACACCTGGGTTTTAAAAGTGACTCCAGACCAGCAACATGTTAAAACTGACAATAAACAATAGGCCCAGCTATATCAAACAATACTCTCAGAGTCTGATTGAGAAGATTTTGTCTTTTTAATAATAYTGTATTAAACTCTTCCAGTTTTCTGCAGCTCCAAGTCTACATASGGATGCCATGGGAAAACCTTGTCTGACAGTCATTGCCACCATCTAGGAAATGTCTCTATATTAACGTAACTACCAAACAAATTTCTTCTTAAAAAAAAACAAACAAGAAAAAACAAAACAACAAAAAAAGGAAACCAACAGATGTTTCTGACAGCTGGAGTGTGCATTATGTAACCTCTACTCAGCTACCAGTCCTGAAATAACAGATTTGAAACTCCGAGTTAATGATATAAACGAGCATAACATATCAAAGCAGTGATGAATATCTTTGAATCTCATACATTTAGTGACATTAGGTGACTCCTCTAAAAATGAAAAATAGATCAGAGGTTCAAGCTACACATTACTAGCAGACCGTACACTTCTACTGGTGAAGTAAAACAAGACATGAACATATTATATGAGAGCTTTATAAACCATTAAAATAGGACTTGTATAAAGAACTACAGAGTAAATATTAAAACACAAGGCCAAACTCCTAGAAAGTTCAAACAGCAACAAATGAAAACTTTCTTCTATTGTATTATTTTACTCTATATGCTTTATGACACAGAAAACAATACATTTTAGGAAAAATATCATTTGTCTCAATAGGAAAATAACAAACCAATGCAGATGATGTACACCTTTCAAAGTAAATCTAAAACAAATTTGACAGCAGTATCAATGGTCTATAAAGACCAGGAAGAAGCAGCAGGATCAAATGGAAACATAGCCCCTTATTAAGATTTCATTTTCCTTCAGAAGTCCCCCCCCTTAGGAAGTAATTAATAATCTTCAACTGTCATTCTCCAAATCAACTTTGGACATCTTCCCTGCAAGCAGCTTGTAACAAATCATTGGCACTGAACTCTTGTCAAAAAGTAACTTAAGAACAACCTGCCCAACAAAGGAACTAGGTCTTCAAGCCTCCCTGAGAGAGCCCCTGTTCTGGCCCACTTCTGAATAATTACAGATACTGCAGACTGAAAAAATAAACTTCACTGTGACAAAAAACAAACCACTTTTTGACAAACTTAAARGAAGTGAAATGCCTAACCAGAAAGATGAGAGATGATAAAGGTTCCTCTACTGCATGAAAAAAAAAAACCCAAAAAACCAAAAAAGACCAGTGTCTCTATTATTAAAAATATTTCGAACATTAAAGGCATCTGGATGTGGCACTTGGGGATACGGTTTAGGGGTGATTATGCTGGGCTGATGGTTGGACTAGATGATCTTGAAGGTCTCTTCCAGTCTTGATGATTCTGTGATTCTGTGGTCTCTTGAGCAAGATTTCTTAGACATGGCAGAAGTGATCACTCAGTCTCAAAAGGCTAGAGATCAGATTAGATGAAGTGGCTTCTCATGAACATTTAATCCAAGCGCATAAGGGGTAGTAATAAATAGTTGGAGTCCTTATCATAAACCTCATCTGGACAGGAAACCCAAATCCATGGGACAAGCTATTGCACACCACTGCTCATTAGTGCTTCCAAAGGAGTGGCATTGCAGGAAGCTAAAATAGGTGCACACCAAGCTACGTAGAGAAATAAACCACTGTGTCTGACACCACTCCCAGTTACCTCTGGATGGAGAAGGAACAATCTGGATTCTTTGCAAACACACTAAATGAAACATTACAGTACTCTGTGCATCAGGAAATTCTTTCAAATTGCATTACATTCCCATCTAGAGCAATCTGTTCTTGGAATACAATTACCTAATGACGCACTTCTTAATCTGGACTCCTTTAGCATCCATTACAAAGAATTGTCTGGGAACACAGTGAGGAAGGCAGCAAACACAAAGCTGATCTTGTTCTGCCAGTGGGGGGAAGTAAGTGATATGGGGCTGTTAAGAATACAAAGTCAGTTCAGCCARTCCTTCATACAAAATAGAGAGTAAGTGACAAGCAAAGGTACCACAGAATTTTTAGGTCTGCAGAACAATCACACATGTTTTATCATCTCATGGGAATGCTCATCACAAGTTCAAGCATGGACTGAAATTCACAAATTCATTCCATGAAGTCTCAAGAAAAGCATTAACAAACTCTAGCCTTTCATAGAAGATCAGACAGATTTTCCCTCTGGAGCCTAATAGCTGATCCTAATTTGAAATATGTATTACTGCGATATCTAGAGGAACTTTCAAGAGATTGCTCAGAAAAATAAAGTGGGGCAATATAGGAACATCTTGTGTCACTCCTTTAACCTTTGTGTCAAATTTCCATTGCTGAGTGTTTTACACTCTGCTCTGTCAACCATCATCCATCTCACARATAAACACCTCAATGTCGTGGATGGTAGAACCCTCTACCCCACAGGTACTAAGATAAAAAGAAATGACATACACAGGACTTCAGTATTTTATTTACACCATATATAATGTAGTGTGTTGAAATCTCATCAGCTTTCTCACTGCCTCTGTAACACCAGTATCTCCATCTTTGTTTTAGATTAATTGGAAGATGACATTCACAATCAAGGATGAAGGGCAGTCACTGGGAAACAATTCCGCACTTATTCTCCCAAATTAAAAAGCTGCAAGCTGTAAGAATTGTGATCCACTCCAAAAAACCAGCACCTCTACTTTTAACAGTCCTCATGAGGTTGCTTCGMCTCCCTATCCTTAATTTCTTCTTTACTTGTCCTTGCATATTTCAAGTGTGTGCACTGAAATATCAAAAGGCATTTGCTTCCATGCATTACACTAATTCTAATGAGAAAATGTGAGTTACAATCTGCTGTATTACTAACCACAGTTTTTAAGAATTCAGAAGCAGCAGACAGCAAGTGCATGATTTTATAATTGTCCAGCTTCATTAACAGCCAGAGATGTTACCTGCAAAAACACTTTAGGGTTGTTGACAAGCCAAATGGAAGGGACTCCATATTGAAAATGTTGAAGCAACACTATGAGCAACCATCCATATTCATCCCATCCCATTTCCTTCACTGGCTTTCTTACTCTATTTCCACATCCTCATTAGCATTCCTATTTCAGAAGACTTGCACCCTACACCAAACAGAATACCAAGATGTTTTCTCCATTATCAAAAAAAAAGAACCCTGACCCAATCCTATTCCACCACTGAATTATTCTCCACTTTTAACCCCATCTGTAGGGACAAAGGCCTAGAAGATCATGATGGCGAAGACCAGGGCAAAGAAAGTATCAAGTGTCTCAGCCTTGCCCATATTCACTATCTCTGAATCACCTGTCACAGTCAGCAGTAAGCCTTCACTACCCTCATTTCTCTTTTTCCTTAACTGCTGATACAGAGCTGGACGCTCCTGATGCCTTTGATGTCCCCTTTCAGTAACAGTGGCTTTCTCAATACCATCTCTGCATATGCAGGCAGTATTTTTATATCCCAGAGCAAGCTTGTCCTCGTTTCTACCTCCCGCATGAGTCTTCTGTGCCGAGGCTGAGTCATGAGTTCCCTCACTACTGCTCTCCTTAGACCTCCACACTTTTTGCTATTGTTTTGAGCTCTGATGCGGCTGTCCTCAAAGGAATGCCACATTTCTTGTGATTCGCTATGCTTTAGCTCACTGAGTCCCACCAATCAGCTCAGCAAATAAACACAGTCTGCTCCTATTCTTATGAAGTCCATGAAGGAGAAGGCAAATTAGCACAAGGCTCACCTGGAGTCTCACTGATGCCCAAGAAGAATCAGATTTCTTATAGTCACTTGCTTAGACTGTTTACTGTTGCATATTTCAAGTATTATTAAAATGATAATGGATTTGTATAAGCTGCAACAAATTTCAAGTCATCTTACAAGAATCTCATGCCTTCCTTTGTCTATCTTTAGACTTCATAATGTCTTTGTAGAGCCAATGCACAATACATCACCCATAGAAAAAAAAAG